GACAAGACATTGAAATCTAGGTTCGTGATCAAGCAATGCTCTAGCACCACCACAAGCTTCCCAAAACGAACGCGAACGTCACACACCTTCAACACTTCAATCATGTCGTTGGAGGCATTCGACAGCGTGGGCTTAAAATCATAAGTGCGAAGGACTTCATACTTCTCGAAGCAGGAGACCGACATGCAATGAGAAGTAGCACCGCTATCCACTAGCCAGTAGCTATCTTGCGACTCAATGCCAACTAAGCACACTCTGTGCTCAACGGTCACTCGGTGCGCCGCAGCAGGCACCTCAGGTGTCGAAGGAGTCGTCCTCAAGACGCCACCGCGGGCATCAACCGGAATCAACTCGCCAGAAGCGCGAAGGGCCATCACAGTCTCTCCCTCCGGCTCCTCTTCTGCTTCGCCATCCGCTACAGCACGGGCGTGCTGCTTCTTGGTCTTCTTGTCCTTGCCCTTATCCTTGCCATGCTTGCCTTTGCCTTTCTCTTTGCCCTTTCCTTTGTCTTTGTCGCCCTGGCCTTTGCCCTTGGGCTTGTTGCTCTTGTCGCCTTTGCCCTGCTTCTTCTCATCTGCGATCCTCTGGCGGCACTCTTCTTGATAGTGCCCTTTCTTCTCGCAGTACCAGCAGACAATCTGGGACTTGTCCTTGGCACCGCCGGCTTTTCCTCCTTTCGCGCCTTTGCCGTCTTTCCCGCCTTTGTCTCCTTTGAGACCACGCAAACCACCACTTGGCAGCTCCACCATGCGCAGCTGCTCCTCGTAAAAACGAAGACTCTCCGCCATCTCGGTCCAACTGCCAGTCTTGCCATGCAGCACCAAGTACTCTCTCGCTTGCACTGACACAGCTTGCAGCAAAATGGCCGATCTGTCGGCGGCGTTCAAGCAGAGGTCGGGAAAACGCACCAGCTTTTTATCTCCCTTGGAGATTTCGTCCTCGAGGAAACGCACAACTTCCAGAGGGCGCTTCAGCGCTGCAGTCTTTGTGTGGAGCTTTAGCATTTCGTCTCTGATATACACCGCCTCCATGCGGCTGTTCACAGAGTACTGCCGGTAAAGCTCTCTCACACCCTCATATCCTGCAGCTGCATTGCTCTGGCGTGTCGAAACACTCCGGAGGATCTCCAATCCTCTGTCCCACTTTGCCAAAGCTTGCTGCAACAGGTAAAAAAGACGTGCACTTCTTCCCGCAGTGTCACTGGGCAAAGTAACCTGCTGGATCTCACCAGCAACAAACAAGCACTGCCTTAGCTCGCCAACAAAGGCGTCATCGGTCAATGCTAGCCAGCTGGACAGCACTTCCAGAAAGCGGTGGAACTCCTCAAGCTCCCGGATCCGGCCTTGCTTCATCTCACCAGCATTGATGAGAGGCAGGGGTGGCAGATACTTCTCTGCACGACCACCAAAACTCGAAAAACTTCCAGAACTCGCAGCAGGCCCACTCGGAGGGGCAACAAGCGACCCAGTAGGCGCCGTCGGCGCTGCTCCCGAACTGCTAGCAGCCACTGCAGCTGCAAAGGGGTCCGAAGACACCTTTCGCCGATCCTCGTCGGCTTTCCGTCTGGCTTCTTCCTCGTCCAAACGGCGGTTCAAGAGGGTCAACTGAGCACTCTGAGCTTGCATCAGAAAGTTCATCTGATTCTGCTGTTGCTGTAAAGCCGTGTTCTGGTTGTTCAGCATCTGCAACATCAACTGCTGCAGTTGTTCACCTCCCAACGCAGGGTTCGGAGGAACCGGACACTGAGCAGGAGCCGCCGGCGCTACAGCCGGACCACTAACACCTTCTGGCACTGTTGCAGAACCACTCGCAGGTGCAGCCGCTGCTGCTTGCTGAGCTGTCGGCGACCCAGCAGGACTGTTCACAGGTCCTACAGGTCCCACGGGTCCTGGTCCAAACAGGTCGAAGTCCATGCCTTCCTCAGGCACAGGGACGTTCTGAGCAGGAGTCTCACTACTCCCACCTGGCAAGGGCGAGGCCATGGCGCTGTAAAGCTCCTTCTAAGTCCTCAGGAGCTCCGCTACCATGTGAAAAACAGAGCGCGCAGCACTCGGTCTTTTTCTTGAGCCAAAGCGGAGTCGCGTCGGGCTCTGACTGACAGTGAAACACCTTGCAGCTGTCTGTCTCCAAGCAAAACACTTCAAGCACTAACGAAACGAGACGAAACGAACGTGCAGTCACTTCCTAACTCAAAAGCACTCCTCACAGCTTCAGGCATGCCGAAAACATCAGGACATCCAAGGTCAAATGGGATTTTCACATAAAGGCACAAGCAAGTACATGCATACCGAGGCAGCAAGAAACCAAGGTTCAGCAACACATCACTGACATGATTGTGCAGTTGATACATGACGCTGCGAATGCAGAAGGCCTTTCATTCGGGAGAGCCGGAGGCACTCACGTTAGGAGCTTGCAGTATGAGACCCGCCGCCAAAATGACAGCTAAGGAAGTACGACTCGGCGAGCTTCCCCGTCTGCACAGCAACGTGCCAAAAGATCCAAAACCAGCCGTCCCCCAGAGTCAAAACCGCCCTGCTTCCGTCACGGCATCATGGAGTACGAGGTGTCTCCATCAAGAAATGAACATCGTGAGAAATCTGCGCCAACTGACGCCGGAGTCCTGCATGAGCCTCAGGGGTATTGCAACCCTGAACATCTCGAAGCTCGTTGCGACTGCTGAGGTCATTCAATGCATGGGATTCACACTCAGAGAGTCGTACAGGGGAGGCACGCTCAAGCGAAGCCAGAATTGCTGGACTTTTCCAGCCCTACATTTGGAGTCGCGAAGCTTGCGATTTCACCAACAGTGCAAAGCCTCTTGAACCGTCATTTGTGGGGTTTCGAGACAGAAACTGAAGCCTTCCAAAGCCTTCCTTGTGGGTTCGGAGCTTACAATCTTACCGTAGTCTCTGCACTCTTCTGGTCTGTAGTTCCTGCAGCTTGCAGCTGTCCCTGTTATCTTGTGCTTCACGTTGGTAGATTTCTCGGCTTGCGCGTGTCATCCTTGCGCAGGGGCCATGCTAATCTTCTCTATCTCGTTTCTCCACCTTCGGAAAGCACACGGCAAACGAGAGTGCCTCAACTGCTGAAGCAGTGCGAGCTTCGCGAGAGCATGCTTTGATTCATGCATGCTTTCACTGAAGAAGTGTTGACACCGTTTGGGACATGACCTGGACTACAATGCTAAAGGCAGCTCCATGCACAAAAACCGTGCATGGGTCCCGCCTCGCCGTTCATTTAAACTTTTAAAACCTAAACGGGGTGTGGGACCCGGCCCTAGAAAAATGGGACCCGGGTGGACCCAGGTGGGACCCGGATGGGACCCGGTGGGACCCGGTGGGACCCGGATTCGATCTGGCTAGCAAAGTATGGGACACGTGACAACCAGATGAAACTTCTTGTGTGGGAAACATGGGACCCGGTGACACCCGGATAAGACCCGGCGAGCAAAAAAACGGGATTCGGTGACGCAGAAGGTGGGACTTGGATGGGCCCGGTGGGACCCGGTTGGGACTCCTCGCAAAAAGCGGGACCTTGTGACCGCTCAGATGATGTGGCCTCAAAACCACACGTTGATGTGGCTTGAGAACCACACGTTAAGTGGCCTTGATGTGGCTTCAAAACCACACGTTTGTGGCTTATGTGGCTTCAAAGCCACACGTTTGTGGCCCGGATGTATTAAAGGGGTCACCAGAAGCCTCGGACCTGAACGAACACGTGGGCTGCCTTTCTTCTTTCTTTACTACAGAGAATTCTAAGCCGGAGCTGGCTCCAAGTCCACTTGCTGGAGCTAGAAAAAGGCTTCAACAAGCTTCGATGATCTTGCAAGCTATTGGCTATTGCTGACTCCATAGAGCCATAGATCTTGGCAATCCTAGACAGGAGCTTCGATGATCGTGTCGCAGCGATGCATCCTAATAAACGTCAAAGATCTCGATTGGCTTAAAAAGATCCTCGAGATACCTCGATGACATTGCAAACTGACACTGATCTCCAGTGGATATAGAAGCAGGATGAGCCCAAGAAATGATGCTGCGGACGACCCCGTTTCTGGGCCCACGAAACGAAAGCAATTCTGGCTTCGCCACAATGGGCCTCCCCAGTTGCAAATCCGCTGGTTGTGGCATTTAAGGTGAGCGTGCAGCTGCTTTGGACAAGACTTCTGGCTTTTCAATCTTGCGTCTGCATGATGCCCAAAACTGCGGGAACAAAGGCAGGCAGGCGCACGCCCGAGATCCAGCTGGTTGGCCCCGAACATTTGCGATTTGCGACCCCAAAAATGGGGCCGTTTCGCGGCCCCGAAAACAGGGCTGCGACATGCGCCCGGCCTCATTAAATATATAGTTTATTTTCCACGGAGCTTTGCTTTATTTCTAAAGTAAGATTCCAATCACAGTATTCCCAAGCTATATGGGAAAATCAAAGTATATAAAGAATAAGAAAATTGCTCAAGCAGATGTGGCGCTTTTTCCTTCCGGCAAAGCCGAAGGGGGAAGTCGTGACATCCCCGCACCGATCGATGGCGAACACGAGGATCGCCAACGAACACCCCGGGAGTGGAGGGAGGGACAAAATTTTCCGGCCCTTTGGCCAGGGAGTAGCTACCCACCCATCCCACCCCTGTCTCGAGGCGGCGCGGGAAATAAAAGAGATGAACTCAGACGATTCAAAGCATGCATTCATGCCATGAAATGTGGTTCAAAATAAAGCAAAGGCGTTTTGAAAACTTCGCAGTAATTTTCAAAACTCTCCTAGGAAAATAAAGCTAATAGAGGCAAGCCTCATGTGTCGCTTATTTTCCACGGAGCTTTGCTTTATTTCAAAGTAAGATTCCAATCACAGTATTCCCAAGCTATATGGGAAAATCAAAGTATATAAAGAATAAGAAAATTGCTCAAGCAGATGTGGCGCTTTTTCCTTCCGGCAAAGCCGAAGGGGGAAGTCGTGACATCCCCGCACCGATCGATGGCGAACACGAGGATCGCCAACGAACACCCCATTCACTTAAGAAGGAGATCAATCGTGGCATTGCCTTTGATCGGGCATCGAGGCGACACTCTGCATACCTGCCCCCTGACTGGAAAGATTGACTTAGCTCTCGAAGGAGGATCGGCCGGGTTACTTGCACTTGGAACGCGGCTAAACCAAGGGAGCATCGCCTCAGCGTCGCAGCTCTCAAAGATCAGCAAGAGTTGCCTCCACAAAGGGTCTTTCGAAGAGCCTTTCACCAAAGAGGCCAACACTCCGGAGTGATCCACATACATGGTCACCCTTTGCATGTCCAAGTGCTTTGCCCACGCTTCTCTCGCACATACCACTGCATACATCTCAACTGGGCCTATCAAATGCCTTTTCCCGAGAGCCTCCCAGCTCTGTACAACGCTCAAAGGGATAGCACATGCAAAGAAGAAAGTGCACCACGCGCCGTTGTCGAAATGGTACAAGACTCCTCCGACAGTGGCGGGGTGAGTTTCATTCGTCGGCTCGTACGCTCCATCTGTGAAAATCACAGAACGACGAGACCCTACACAAGCCGGGACTATCCTAGGGGTACCCCCAAGAACCCGGGACCTAAGATTACAAAGGGCCTGCACAGCCGTGGCATCAAGGGTTTTGGCCTGAGAACTCATCGTGCACGCCCTAAGGTCGGCCAGTGCCAATCTGCCCAATCGCCCGTGCAGCTGACCCTCGGCAAACTGGAGGCGACCGAACAAAGACGGCAGGGTCTTCGGATCAAGATGGCCCGCACTCAAGACGGAGTCCACCGCCTCAGCGATGGCAGTAGCACGTTCGGGCTTATTCCCAATCTTAACTACCCCAAAGCTGCCAAGGTCAACCCGAACGCCTAGTAGCTCAGCCTCATGGCTGAAGGGAAGATCCTTGTCTTCCGCCCAGGCGAAACCCAGCAGGTCCAACGCGGCTCTGACAGTCGACTGCGTGTTGTTACAAAGCGGCAAGACCTCTAAAACCGGGTAATCGTCGAAGTAGTTGCAGGCGAGCACCTGCAAGGCAACCAGAACCCTCTGGAGCAATCTCGCAACGCGATTGAATGAAACCACCGACGAGGTGGCCCCAAACAGAAGGGTTCGGCTCTCGAAGCCAAACGGAAGCCTCGAGACCGGGTCCTTGATGGCCACTATGCTCAGACAGCGGTCTCGTGGAGAAACCGCCAACTGTTTATAAGCACTCTTCAAGTCCACTGTTTTCAAGCTTGGCTGAAGCGCATCGGGTTTCAGGGCCCTCCAGAAAGAATGCACCGGAAAGCGAAGATGGTCGCCGTCCGACAAAGGGATGCTCACCTCGCCTTTTGCAATGAAGATCTTAAAGAGGGTGATCGCAAGCCAGACCAATTCATCAAGGGCCCTCAAAGAAATCCGATCGGAAACAGCATAGGCGCAGTTTACAGAGTTCTCGGCCAAATCGTCTATCGACCGCGTCTTGGCTTTTTGCACAATGCCGAACCTCCGCACTGGAAGCCAGCCTTCTGGATGACGGGCCTGCAGCTCGTCCCACGAGTAAGGTCCGGTTAGCCACTCCTTGACTAGCATCTCTTGCTGTGTGGAATCCCACACTTCCCGAGCTAAATCATCCACCTCCGCGTTCGCCACCTTCGCCCACAGCGCAGGCCTAAGGAATTTAGCATGCTGCACAAGCTCTGCCCTTGTCATCAGAGCCGGTTTTCTATCCACATCGAAGATGCCAGAAGGACTCGACTCCCCCACTAAGGGAAACCCATAGGTGTTCGAAGACTTCAGTGTCAGGCCAACCGAAAGACGATGCAATTTTTTCCAAAAGCAAAATGTTCTTGCCCTTCATAACAGAAGCCACACCAGGATCCATGGCAGCATGCAGGTTTGCTTCGGCACCGGCCAAATCGCGTTTCCAAGAAGTCCACTGCTGGAGCAAATTCAGACGGTGCTTCATCACACCAACCGGGCCCTCTTTCAAGGTAAAAGCCAACGCTCTCAACATGAAGTCTGGGACTGCCACGCACAAGTCGAAGGGATGATCGATATGCAATGCCTGGGCCACAAACTCTTGTTCCGTGCGGTAAATGCCAAAGGTAACTGCTGAAGGCACACCTGACAGGCTCCGACCTGTTTCGCACCGACGACCCCCCGATCACACACAACGCGAAGAAGGCGGGAGCCAGGAGGGATGGACCCTACGGCACATGTGAGATTGCCTTTATTATCCAAAGGAAGGGGCCACGGGAACTCACGGACCGTGGCCTGGCACTTAAACTCGGCGATCTGCGGCTGGAATTTTGACAATCGAGGCTGCCGCCCAGCGGCTGCTACGGCAGAATGCCGCGAACTCTGCAGAGGAAGAGCGTGCTCAAGTAAGAGGCCAGACTGGCCAACCGCCAGCTGCAGGAGGCCAGCAAACACATCACAGAACTTGGTTGTGTACAAGGCATCTGGTGCAAGCGAGCCCGCAGCGTGGGGCCCGGGGCGACAACGACATGCTGGCACCGGCATGCCAGCCAGCGCGGCCTGGGTTGTGCACAGACGCATTTTGACCGGACTGGGAGCCCCGTAGCAACCTGCACAGAAGTCTACGCAATGGAGGTTGTCGGGAAAGTCGAGCTGTTTCCACAGGGCTGACGCCAGGGGATGCAAGACACTCCAATGCGAATCAGATGCAAGCAAGAGTTTGGCGATGCGAATGGTTTGCCCGGCGCTAAAAGTAGCCTTAAAACAATCCTTGGTCGCAGGAAAGAAATGCACGTGAAAAGGGGCATCGTGGCTGATGACAGTCTGCACAAAGGAGAAACCCGACTCAGTTTCAATGTCCACAGGGACAAGGTGAGTGTGCACTCGCCCAGCGGGGCGAGAATGTTCAAGCGCTATGATTTGAAATCCGTCCCGCCGCACCCGAGCCGGCAGCAATCCGGACCCACACTTTATCTCGACATAGAGAGCAGAACCGGGCTTTAAGGGACTAGCAGGGTCGCTCACAGGTTCCTTAGGGTCAACGGCGGGGACAACCGAAGCGGGCAAGGGCCTAAGCGACTCCTGAGCTGCGGGGGAGGTCAAGGATGGCGGCTGACGAGCACACGCTTCAGCAGGCGCCAACCGCGCGCCCTCGGGCGCGCATTCCGGAACATCAACATGACACTCGCGGAGAAAGTCAAGATGTTCTTTGCACAGCGATTCGACATGACGGATGGTGAATGCAACCAGCAAGACTCTACGGCCCTGCCACGCCTCGGTGTAGTGCCAATTGTGTCTGGCATTGAATCGGACAGGGCCCTTAGCAACCTGCAAGCGAGAGCCTCGTGCCCCATTAAGGTCGGATACATCTCGACCGTTTTCATGCTCCACAAAGATAGCTCCACCTGAGAAGTCAGTCAGTGCAATCGCCAAGTTATGCAAGTTGGCATTCCACTGATCTCGATGGCGCTCAGTGCGAACATCCTCAAATATATTTATCGAAGAAAACTTAAACCCCGGTGCACGCTGTCTCACAAACCTTGCAAAGACTTTGAGCGCCTCCGGGTTGGCTGAGGCATTGGCCTTCAGGCCTACATTACCACCAAGAACATACGCTCCCGTGGCATAAGATTTCGAAGTTGGGAGAGGTGCATCGGCACCCCTCTTCAAGGCATCCGAAGGAAGACCATCGAAAACCCGCAGAACATCGGCGGCACTCACATGACCCTCGTCAAGTGAAGAACCTCTCTGCGACTGTGCCCCATCACGGGGCCTCGGGGCTGCTGCGTGCGGCCTCCACCACACCTGGTGATGGCCTGGAGATGGCACTGTGAGAGCCAACGTTGTGCATGTGATGATCCTCTCGATCAACACCTGACTGCAGACGACACTCCACACCACTCGGAGGAGAGCCGCCGGCGCATGCATTGCTCGGCCGATGAACTCCCTCTAGGAGATCATCCACCTGTGAGGCTCCCGCTGCCGGCTGATGCACACTCTCTGGAGCACCGGCCATCAGCGACGCACCCTCGTGACCCGCTAGTCACGAGCCACCCTGAGCCCGCTTTGGGCACTGCGCTGCACCATGGTTGTGAGCACCGCACTTAGGCACTGCGCAAATGTGCAGGCCTTTCTCGCACTTCTGCCCTTTGGTAGGGCATCCTCCCAGATTGAATGCAAAACAGATTGGGTCACCACGATTGGTGTGAGACCTGCAGCCCTCCAGGCCGGCGGGCAACCTTGTCATGAACCTCTGCTTACCTTTCTTTCCTTTGCCTCCACCTTTGTTGTAAGGAGAAGGCCTCTCCCACTTGGGAGCATCCGGCTTCTGGGGAACATCCTTTAGGGCAGGGGCCGGAAAAGGTTGCAATAAACATGACACTTCGTTCATGTACATCGCATCTGGCAGAAGTGTGTCCAACGGGCGACCCGATGCGACGGTCTGCACTCCTGCCCTGGTCTTATCACGAAGCTCGGCAAACAGCTGCCGATCCGCCGACTCAAGTTGCTTCCAAGTGGGCCTGGCAAAATGCTCCGCAGGCGCTTGCATGCGGGCCTTCATCAAGCGTTGAGTCCACTTATCAGCAACACTGAACTCGATCAGGTTCGCCTGATCCATGGCCAAAGCTCTCCTGGTGAGAGCCTGCTGAACAAGAATCTCCGATGAAGTATCCGCAACCAGATCAGGCTGTTTGTGCTCGATCCGAAGCTTTCCCGAAGACTCCTCAACAGTGAACCTGACATCGCGTTTCTTCTCGCCAGCCAGTTCAGCTTCCTTGGACACACACCGGTCCCACGGAATGTACCTCAGCTCATTTGCCTCATAGGAAGCCACAGCAAGATCAACAAGTGCATCGGCAGGCTCCAGAGGCCCTTTCAGTGAAATCCCAACAAGCTTCTTGGCCTGCCGCTCGTACCGCTCCGACCTCTCAGGCTGAGACAAAGGCCGGACGGTCGACTCTGGGTCGGCCTTCTCAATCCTCTGCTTCATTTCCGCGGTCACTATGGCAAAAGCTTCATTGTAGACCGCACGCCAATTAGCCTTGTCTGCAATTGTCAAGTCTCGCTTCAAAATGTCTTTCAACACCTGCATCAACGGCCCCTCGTCAGTCTGGCCAGGTGTGAAAGAAGAAATGAACGCCAGCCTCCTCAAGTTTCCCACCTCTGGCAGGATTTTCTGAACGTCATCTTCTGCGAAACCCACGACACTCAATCGCGACTGCAGAACCGATTGACTCTCAGAGTAGTTAGCCATCGTCAGGAGCAGGAACCGAGCTAGTGAAACTCCTACAAATCGCTGAAAGTTCTCAGAACACTCCCGAATCCGCACCTCGTGGCCTGAGCTCTGACTTACCAGGTTCAAGCACAGACTTCCTAAGACTGAGCCGACTCCTCATGAACGCGATGCTTGCTTCTGACTGATGCATGTCACTCGAAAACTACAAATCGCACACACTCCTGGAAGCACTCAGCCTAAGCGCGCAACGCTCAGAAACTCAAAAACTCCTTTTCACTGCACTCCTCAGCATCACTTCTTAGGTGGGCAACAGCTTCTACACAGCGGAAACAAAATTCGAGGGACGGAAGACAACCTCTCATACCTGGTCGAGATGTTTCTCCCACATCTGAACTTGTCGCCTTCTTCGGATGCGACAGCATGGATGAAACGGCTGTCTCTGTTCCTGAACAAAGGGACTGCTTCAAGCTCGGCACGCAAGCCTGCATCGGGCTCCCATTGCCTTCCCAACTCGTCGGTGGCCGCCTCCGCAGCTACATGATCGACATCCTCGGCATCCTCGCTGGCCTCGGAAGAAGATTCCGACAAAACCTCATCAGGAGGAATGGGCATCCCTTCTGGATCTTCAAAGCGCTTCACGAAGTAACCGGACCTGGTGGCGTCCGGCATGAACCTTTCGCGCGACACTTCGAGCAGGACCCCTTGCAGCTGGCGCACAGGAGCAGACATGTTGTCTCTCCCATAGATGAGCTCGGTCCCGTCACGGCCCCTGGCGTGGTAGCCTAGGGCCGCTCTCACCTCGCGGGGTAGTCCGAATTTGGCGCTCCAACTCAAGGTCGTTGCCTTGAGACTATGCGTCCCAAGCGGTTCAACGGAAGACCTGTCACAACCCGCACGGATCAAGAGTGACTTCATCCATTTCGTGGCACTCGCCACCGCCAGCGGCGATGTTTGCCACCCTCCGCCAGAGAGCGGGCTCGGAAGCAAGGGCTTGCCCGACCCCAAAGGAGGCCCATGCTCCTTATAGAACTCAAACCACTTGACACCCCAGATACCTTGGATGGGAGCAAACATGTGCAAATACCTGACCTTTCTTTCCAGTGAGAACGAAGTCTTGCTTCGCTCGACAGCGGACTCCAGGTATCCGACTGTGCCGTCCGGCGTATCGCTTAAGTCACAAGTCATTGCACCTGCAGCTTGGGCATCCGAGTACCTCGCTCGTGCATACAAGGTCCACACGAAGAAGCCAGCAGCGACCCGGTCTGAAGGCTCGAGCACGATCGAGCCGGAAGCGATAGCCTCCAACTTCCGCACATGATCAACTTTGAGCGACGGCTTTTGCCGAGTCTTCCTCTTTTCAAGATACAGCTTCGACGACAGCCCACGGACCCTGGGGCTGAAGACCTCATCACTCACCTTCAAGCTCACAGTGAACTTTGCAAAAGCAAGGCTGCTCAAGAAACTCCTGGCGAAAGTGGGCGCCTCGTGAGATGCATAATCCTGTAGGAAAGCATAGATCCCTGCTTCAGTGACAGGGAAAGGAATGACCTGGCAACTTCGGCAGTGCTTGATGTACCTGGCAAGGGGCCCAGCACGGCCCGAGATCGTGACGCTCGCCTTCTGAGAAAACACATCTTGCAAGGAAGACTTCAAGTCAGAGTCTCGCCCGTTCTCCTTATCTAGCCGAATCGAAAGAGAAAGACCGAAATCGTCAGGGAACCTTTCAAGAATCCCTAGCCACTTTGCCAAAGCTGCTTCCCTCGCCTCAGAGAGTTTCTGATCCCAGCTTTGTCCCGGCACACTCGGAATCTTCACTCCCGCAAGCCTGAGTGACTCAAGCTTTCCCGAAGACGACTTCACCGGCCCTGCAGGACCGGCCGGCCCCACTGGCGCTGACACAATGCATCCCCCTTTGGCGAAAGGAGAGGGCAAAGCAGGCATGTCAAGAAATGCAGAAGCTATTTCCCACGGCATCCTAACTGTGCTTCCAAGCCCCCGGGATGCAACACGCGTGGCCGACACATGGTGACCCTCATAAGCCCCATGCACGCGAGCCTTCTTGAGGCTACTTTCAAGAGAGTCATCCCCTGACATGCTGGCTGCAAACTCGGCCTTGTCAGGCCAGCATGGCAAACGCTACACCCCACTACAAAATTTTCCGGCCCTTTGGCCAGGGAGTAGCTACCCACCCATCCCACCCCTGTCTCGAGGCGGCGCGGGAAATAAAAGAGATGAACTCAGACGATTCAAAGCATGCATTCATGCCATGAAATGTGGTTCAAAATAAAGCAAAGGCGTTTTGAAAACTTCGCAGTAATTTTCAAAACTCTCCTAGGAAAATAAAGCTAATAGAGGCAAGCCTCATGTGTCGCTTGAGCATGAGTTGGAGGCTTGGAACCCCGACCCCAAAAATGGGGCCGCCAAACGGCCCCATTTTGGGGGGTCGCGAATTCTTCTACTTTGAGGCACGTCCGCCTGACTGCTACACAACAGGCGACTGTGGCACACAGGCGCGCGTCCAGCTTGGAAAAAAACAAGCTTTCAGGATTAAGGCTTCCAAGCCGAGCCTTGCTTTCTTATAGAAGTACATTAAATCAACATGAAAGAAACGGGCACAGGGGAGGCCCGCTCAAGCGAAGCCAGAATTGCTGGACTTTTCCAGCCCTACATTTGGAGTCGCGAAGCTTGCGATTTCACCAACAGTGCAAAGCCTCTTGAACCGTCATTTGTGGGGTTTCGAGACAGAAACTGAAGCCTTCCAAAGCCTTCCTTGTGGGTTCGGAGCTTACAATCTTACCGTAGTCTCTGCACTCTTCTGGTCTGTAGTTCCTGCAGCTTGCAGCTGTCCCTGTTATCTTGTGCTTCACGTTGGTAGATTTCTCGGCTTGCGCGTGTCATCCTTGCGCAGGGGCCATGCTAATCTTCTCTATCTCGTTTCTCCACCTTCGGAAAGCACACGGCAAACGAGAGTGCCTCAACTGCTGAAGCAGTGCGAGCTTCGCGAGAGCATGCTTTGATTCATGCATGCTTTCACTGAAGAAGTGTTGACACCGTTTGGGACATGACCTGGACTACAATGCTAAAGGCAGCTCCATGCACAAAAACCGTGCATGGGTCCCGCCTCGCCGTTCATTTAAACTTTTAAAACCTAAACGGGGTGTGGGACCCGGCCCTAGAAAAATGGGACCCGGGTGGACCCAGGTGGGACCCGGATGGGACCCGGTGGGACCCGGTGGGACCCGGATTCGATCTGGCTAGCAAAGTATGGGACATGTGACAACCAGATGAAACTTCTTGTGTGGGAAACATGGGACCCGGTGACACCCGGATAAGACCCGGCGAGCAAAAAAACGGGATTCGGTGACGCAGAAGGTGGGACTTGGATGGGCCCGGTGGGACCCGGTTGGGACTCCTCGCAAAAAGCGGGACCTTGTGACCGCTCAGATGATGTGGCCTCAAAACCACACGTTGATGTGGCTTGAGAACCACACGTTAAGTGGCCTTGATGTGGCTTCAAAACCACACGTTTGTGGCTTATGTGGCTTCAAAGCCACACGTTTGTGGCCCGGATGTATTAAAGGGGTCACCAGAAGCCTCGGACCTGAACGAACACGTGGGCTGCCTTTCTTCTTTCTTTACTACAGAGAATTCTAAGCCGGAGCTGGCTCCAAGTCCACTTGCTGGAGCTAGAAAAAGGCTTCAACAAGCTTCGATGATCTTGCAAGCTATTGGCTATTGCTGACTCCATAGAGCCATAGATCTTGGCAATCCTAGACAGGAGCTTCGATGATCGTGTCGCAGCGATGCATCCTAATAAACGTCAAAGATCTCGATTGGCTTAAAAAGATCCTCGAGATACCTCGATGACATTGCAAACTGACACTGATCTCCAGTGGATATAGAAGCAGGATGAGCCCAAGAAATGATGCTGCGGACGACCCCGTTTCTGGGCCCACGAAACGAAAGCAATTCTGGCTTCGCCACAATGGGCCTCCCCAGTTGCAAATCCGCTGGTTGTGGCATTTAAGGTGAGCGTGCAGCTGCTTTGGACAAGACTTCTGGCTTTTCAATCTTGCGTCTGCATGATGCCCAAAACTGCGGGAACAAAGGCAGGCAGGCGCACGCCCGAGATCCAGCTGGTTGGCCCCGAACATTTGCGATTTGCGACCCCAAAAATGGGGCCGTTTCGCGGCCCCGAAAACAGGGCTGCGACATGCGCCCGGCCTCATTAAATATATAGTTTGAGCATGAGTTGGAGGCTTGGAACCCCGACCCCAAAAATGGGGCCGCCAAACGGCCCCATTTTGGGGGGTCGCGAATTCTTCTACTTTGAGGCACGTCCGCCTGACTGCTACACAACAGGCGACTGTGGCACACAGGCGCGCGTCCAGCTTGGAAAAAAACAAGCTTTCAGGATTAAGGCTTCCAAGCCGAGCCTTGCTTTCTTATAGAAGTACATTAAATCAACATGAAAGAAACGGGCACAGGGGAGGCCCGCTCAAGCGAAGCCAGAATTGCTGGACTTTTCCAGCCCTACATTTGGAGTCGCGAAGCTTGCGATTTCACCAACAGTGCAAAGCCTCTTGAACCGTCATTTGTGGGGTTTCGAGACAGAAACTGAAGCCTTCCAAAGCCTTCCTTGTGGGTTCGGAGCTTACAATCTTACCGTAGTCTCTGCACTCTTCTGGTCTGTAGTTCCTGCAGCTTGCAGCTGTCCCTGTTATCTTGTGCTTCACGTTGGTAGATTTCTCGGCTTGCGCGTGTCATCCTTGCGCAGGGGCCATGCTAATCTTCTCTATCTCGTTTCTCCACCTTCGGAAAGCACACGGCAAACGAGAGTGCCTCAACTGCTGAAGCAGTGCGAGCTTCGCGAGAACATGCTTTGATTCATGCATGCTTTCACTGAAGAAGTGTTGACACCGTTTGGGACATGACCTGGACTACAATGCTAAAGGCAGCTCCATGCACAAAAACCGTGCATGGGTCCCGCCTCGCCGTTCATTTAAACTTTTAAAACCTAAACGGGGTGTGGGACCCGGCCCTAGAAAAATGGGACCCGGGTGGACCCAGGTGGGACCCGGATGGGACCCGGTGGGACCCGGTGGGACCCGGATTCGATCTGGCTAGCAAAGTATGGGACACGTGACAACCAGATGAAACTTCTTGTGTGGGAAACATGGGACCCGGTGACACCCGGATAAGACCCGGCGAGCAAAAAAACGGGATTCGGTGACGCAGAAGGTGGGACTTGGATGGGCCCGGTGGGACCCGGTTGGGACTCCTCGCAAAAAGCGGGACCTTGTGACCGCTCAGATGATGTGGCCTCAAAACCACACGTTGATGTGGCTTGAGAACCACACGTTAAGTGGCCTTGATGTGGCTTCAAAACCACACGTGCTTATGTGGCTTCAAAGCCACACGTTTGTGCCCGGATGTATTAAAGGGCTCACCAGAAGCCTCGGACCTGAACGAACACGGGGGCTGCCTTTCTTCTTTCTTTACTACAGAGAATTCTAAGCCGGAGCTGGCTCCAAGTCCACTTGCTGGAGCTAGAAAAAGGCTTCAACAAGCTTCGATGATCTTGCAAGCTATTGGCTATTGCTGACTCCATAGAGCCATAGATCTTGGCAATCCTAGACAGGAGCTTCGATGATCGTGTCGCAGCGATGCATCCTAATAAACGTCAAAGATCTCGATTGGCTTAAAAAGATCCTCGAGATACCTCGATGACATGCAAACTGACACTGATCTCCAGTGGATATAGAAGCAGGATGAGCCCAAGAAATGATGCTGCGGACGACCCCGTTTCTGGGCCCACGAAACGAAAGCAATTCTGGCTTCGCCGCAATGGGCCTCCCCAGTTGCAAATCCGCTGGTTGTGGCATTTAAGGTGAGCGTGCAGCTGCTTTGGACAAGACTTCTGGCTTTTCAATCTTGCGTCTGCATGGTGCCCAAAACTGCGGGAACAAAGGCAGGCAGGCGCACGCCCGAGATCCAGCTGGTTGGCCCCGAACAGTTGCGATTTGCGACCCCAAAAATGGGGCCGTTTCGCGGCCCCGAAAACAGGGCTGCGACATGCGCCCGGCCTCATTAAATATATAGTTTGAGCATGAGTTGGAGGCTTGGAACCCCGACCCCAAAAATGGGGCCGCCAAACGGCCCCATTTTGGGGGGTCGCGAATTCTTCTACTTTGAGGCACGTCCGCCTGACTGCTACACAACAGGCGACTGTGGCACACAGGCGCGCGTCCAGCTTGGAAAAAAACAAGCTTTCAGGATTAAGGCTTCCAAGCCGAGCCTTGCTTTCTTATAGAAGTACATTAAATCAACATGAAAGAAACGGGCACAGGGGAGGCCCGCTCAAGCGAAGCCAGAATTGCTGGACTTTTCCAGCCCTACATTTGGAGTCGCGAAGCTTGCGATTTCACCAACAGTGCAAAGCCTCTTGAACCGTCATTTGTGGGGTTTCGAGACAGAAACTGAAGCCTTCCAAAGCCTTCCTTGTGGGTTCGGAGCTTACAATCTTACCGTAGTCTCTGCACTCTTCTGGTCTGTAGTTCCTGCAGCTTGCAGCTGTTCCTGTTATCTTGTGCTTCACGTTGGTAGATTTCTCGGCTTGCGCGTGTCATCCTTGCGCAGGGGCCATGCTAATCTTCTCTATCTCGTTTCTCCACCTTCGGAAAGCACACGGCAAACGAGAGTGCCTCAACTGCTGAAGCAGCGCGAGCTTCGCGAGAGCATGCTTTGATTCATGCATGCTTTCACTGAAGAAGTGTTGACACCGGCCGTTCATTTAAACTTTTAAAACCTAAACGGGGTGTGGGACCCGGCCCTAGAAAAATGGGACCCGGGTGGACCCAGGTGGGACCCGGATGGGACCCGGTGGGACCCGGTGGGACCCGGATTCGATCTGGCTAGCAAAGTATGGGACATGTGACAAC